GTTATATATGTCAAATAGAAAATCTTTTTGCTTTTTCGAAAGACGCTTGTAAGATTTGGATGTCTTGAGGGCCCATCCCATACGTAGTTCCGATCCGCGCCTTGCTATGTTATCATCCTTTTCTCGTAATGGTAGATAAATGAATATTCTGTAGGCTTATGAGAATCAGTCTATACCATATATTACGAGCGAAAACAGGTCAGGATTATCTAAACTAATTCCATATATCGCAGATTTCGTTTCGTAGTTATTGCTTTTTTTTTTGTTGTTTTTTTGTTGTTTTTTTTTCAGGAAGCCCAAGCAAACAATCCGACAAAAGGAATAAGTCAAATGATAATCGCGCGAAAATGATCAGTCTTTATACACCCAAGTTATTTTATAGTCTTTATGCATATTTCTTAGCTCTCTTTTTAAAGCGTGGAGTTACTATTAGAATGTATTATTTTCATCTATAACTTAAAAATATTCAATGGGATTTGTCTTCGAGAATCATGTCAATCATGTGTTGGTGATTTTAGGATTGTACACTATGTAATTTCGTTCTCATTAAAATTATCAAAAATACATAAATTGGGTATAAAATGTTTTGATAAATGTTCTGCCGGTTTCACTTTCAAGTATTACTATGTTCTTGAGTACTTCGCTTGAAGAAACAAAACATCTACACATCGATTTTCTTGCATACGTTTGATGACCAATCCAAGGTCTTACTCTGGACGAAATCCTGTGGGTTTTCTCCATATCGGTCATAACGAAAATTACGTGTGAAATAGGAGTACTTTTTACGTTATCAAAAGTGTGCATAATTTAAAAAATTGTCAAAAATCACTAGTTTCTTTTTAGGACTTTATTTTCAGCCAGAGAACGGTTGAGATAATGATAAACACAACGTGAAAGTATAATTGCTAAAGGTAAAGTATTTTTGCTATACGAGGGCACACAAATCACTCTTTGTAAACAACAAAAATTTGCATATTTGACCTCTCTCACAAAAAAAATCGTATCTCGCAAACGAAAAAAATATTTTTTAATAAAAACATCACAGTGATTCATCAGACATAATAAGGTACCAAATATGAAAGTTTGAGCGAAATCTAATTTTTTACACTTGCCACTGTATGTCTGGTGTTTGCTGACATCCACTCAAATTACTTTTACAGTGCTTGTGCAGCTGGTTTGTGTAGCGACTCTAGATAGTATTCTCGATATCTAACCACACAATAAACTATATATCAAATATTACAATGTAAAAGTACAGTAGCGAATGAGCACAATTTTGAATTGTAGACAAACAAGGATAATTAAAACATACGTGCAATCATTTTCGAAACGAATTAGATCGGCGAATCTTCCTTATGCTGCTTCCTTTGTGACTGAACAATACGACAAATCAAACTCTAATTACTTTACAAATATAAAATAAACGATTCATGAATACAGGGCTTTTTTTGTCAAAATCATAAAAAMTTCGATTCTAGACAAGCAGGGTCGAGCGCCTACCAGTTAAAAGACAAGTCTAGCCGATATTGTGTATCATTAGCCCGCGTGGGCGAGTGGTAGTGACTTTGATTTTAGGTCCAACGGGCCCACTGGGCCCAGGTTCGAGAMTCAGATGAGTACATATTTCTTTGATTTCTTTATTTGTCATAARCGGTTACGTTCCGGTAACTGAAAATTAGTGGATAAATTACTATAATAAATTAATAATTATGAACACAAGTAACGCAGGCTCAAGTTTACAGGAAGGTGAGTGACTGACTGAATGAGTAAGTGACAGATTCGTCACTCTCCAATAAATAACTCTTCGATTGCTTCGAAATCTTCAAGTTAAAAATGAATAATGATAGTTAAGTGATTGCCGAGAAATCCTTTTTTAACTCGCTCRATCGCATCAAAATCTTGTATAATTGTAACGATTGTCACACATATAAGTTGAAATATTTAAGCTGTTAGCGGTGTGTTCGAATTTGAATTTCATAACGCGTGGGGCACCTACCAACTACTGGCGCATGTTAAATTTAGGAGTCACAAAATATTTTTCCATGCTGAGCACGAAAAAATCCAGCATTTTTTTTTTACCATGTCCAGGCCGAAGGCATGAGGCACGGTTATAAAATACAGCGAATTTTTCTTTTTTTTATTTTCCACGTCGCAGTTCAGCAACCCCAAGGGACTCTAAGGTTGCAAGGATCCAAAGTTCGATCCTCGAATCAAGCACGTCTGAAAAAATTCTTTCTTTTTTCTTTCTTTCTTAAACTTTTTTTAACAGAAATATAGTTGTTGTAGTTATGAGATATTTTAATCGTAGCCGATTTGTTTTATTTACGAGCCGTTTGTTGAATTTTAGAAACAAGATGATTCTCGAACAGCGGCATCGAACAGAGGATTGCGGGTTCGAATCTCGTCTCGAACACTTGTTTCTCTCTCTCTCTCTCTCTCTCTCTCTCTCCCTCTCTCTCTCTCTCTCTCTTTCTCCCTCTCTCTCTCTCCCTCTCTCTCCCTCCCTCTCTCTCTTTCTTTCTTTTTAACTGAATAAAGCTGTTATAGTCATGTTGAATTGTTTCTGTAGATATTTGTTTAATTATTCTTTTCTAGCCATTATTTCTATTTTATACAGAATATTATACTCGGATAGCGTTGAACTAAGGATCGCGGGTTCGATTCTCGACTCGATCGCTTCTAAACAATTCTTTCTTTCTTTCTTTCTTTTGCTGAAATACATGTATACTTATTCTAGTAATGTTTTTTTTT